AGGCCAGAATAAATCTATGGGGCCATTGAGCAGCAGTTTCCCCACAGGGAAATCCATTCAGGACCTCTGCAGAGCCACGGCAAGAAGTGCCAGACTGTACCTCTGCACAACCGCTGACAGGGTTTTAACCCTAGAGATGGGGACGCTAGCTCTTCCCACCGGTGTTTATGGTCCTTTACCAAAGGGCATGGTAGGATTGTTGTTAGGAAGGAGAGCACAACCATGCAGGGAATTTCTGTTGCTCCTTGAGTGATTGATGCTGACTTTGAGGGGGAAATTAAGGTTCTGACTCATTCTCCAAATGGAATTTCAGTGGTAAAGTCAGGCCAGAGACTCACTCAATTGGTTTTACTCCCCCAGGTGAAAACAAAGAACCAGGTTAAGAGAGTTAAGAGAGGGAAATCTAGATTTGGCTCATTTGATGCATCAGTCCACAGCACCCAGAAATCACCTTATATAAAAATGGCAGGGCCTTTTCTGACATGGGTGTGGACAGATCAGTTATTACCAGTCAATGGCCTTCAACATGGCCAAGACAGTGACCATTACACAGCTGCAAGGAATTGGACAGACTCAGAACACTGAGCAGACTAGCAATGGACTTGCTTGGAGAGATGGGGAAGGTCACGAAGGGAATTTTTAGCCATTCACTGTTCCTCATTTGCCTGTAAATTTGTGGGGCCGAGATGCTATGGCCCAAATGTGAGTGTATTTGTATAGCACCAATGCAGCTGTTACTAATCAAATGTTCAGGTAGGGATTGTTGCCCAATCAAGGACTAGGCAGGGAGAATGAGGGGAGAGTTGATCCTATCTTGCCTAGTGAGTGACATCCCAGAATGGGCCTAAAGCATTTTTAGCAGAGGTCACTGAGAAGCCTACACTCCATGCAGACCCTATTATATGGAAAAATGATGACTCGGTATGGATAGACCAGTGGCCTATATCAGATTTAAAAATACAAGCTGCTCAGCAGTTAGTGCAGGAGCAGCTAGAGAATGGTCATATTGTGCCTTCTAATTCTCCATGGAATTCTCCTATTTTTGTGATTAAAAAGGGAAATGGAGACTGATACAGGATTTGAGAAAAATTGAATGAGACTATGCAGTTAATGGGAGCTCTACAGCCAAGGTTGCCGATTCCCGAAGCTATAACAAAAGATACTCATAAGATTATTGCATATTTAAAGGATTGTTTTCACACCATCCCTTTGGCTCCTCAAGATTGTCATAGATTTGCGTTTAGTGTCCATCTGTTAATTTTAAGGAACCCATGAGGAGGTACCACTGGAAAGTCTTGCCCCAGGGCATGGCCAACAGTGCAACATTGTGCCAGAAGTTTGTGGATCAAACTATACAAATTATATGGGATGAATTATATGTTGTTCATTATACGAATAATATTTTGCTTGCTCATTAAGAGTGAGGAGGTTTTGCTTGCAACATATGGACAGCTGCAGCAGAACCTTGCCAGAGCAGGATTAGCAATTGCCCCTGTTTAGTATTTGGGACATATGTCCTAAAGAAATTAAGCCTCAAAAATTACAAAAGGTAGCTTTGATCGTTGAATGATTTTCAGAAGTTGTTGGAAAATATCCAATGGTTACGTCCCTTTTTAAATGCACCTATTGGTGATCTGAAACCTTTAAGCGATATTCTGAAAGGAGATAATGATTCCAATTCACTTAGACAGCTAGCTGAAGAGGTTAGACAAGTCCTCCTACAATTGGATATCAGATATGCTATATTGACTATGCAAAACCATGGGAGGCTTATGTGCTTCCCACAAAGCATAGTCCAACTTCTCTCTTATTGCAAAGGGGACCATTGTTATGGTTGCATATACCTGTTTTCCCAGTTAAAGCGTTAAATCCTTATTTTGAATGGTACAGAAATGCCATATAAAGTCTAGGACATATTTTTGAAGGGAACAAATCGTAATACATGTTCCCTATACCAAACAGCAAATTGATTGGTTATTTCAAAATACTGATTCATGGGCAATCGATTTTGCTCAATTCTTGGGAAAAATTGATAATCAGTTTCCAGCTCATAGATTGTTACAATTTGCACTAATGTATCCTTTTATATTCCCTAAAATTGTGAGGAGTAATCCTGTGAAAAATGCTGTTAGTTTTTACTGATGGTTCTTCTAATGGAAAAGCTGCTTATGTTATTGATGGAAAAGAATATGTAGTAGACAGATCCAACTTCAGCTCAGAAAGTTGAGTTATGAGCCATTGTAATAGTTTTTCAGCTTCTAGTGAATGATTCATTTGACTTATATACTGATAGTCATTATGTTTTCAGAGCTCTTCAAGTTATAGTGACAGTTCCATACATTGGAACTAGTAATAATCAGGTTAAAATACTGTTTGAGCAAATTCAGAGTGCCACTCATCAAAGAAAGTCACCGTGCTTTGTGGGTCATATAAGAGCTCATTCAAACCTTCCCTACCCACTGGCTGAAGGTAATGAGTCAGCTGATAGACTGGCAAAAATGGTAGTTTTATCTCAGATAGAATTAGCTCAGCAGTCACATAGCTTTCATCATCAAAATAGTAATAGTCTAAGAAAGCAGTTTAGTTTAACTAGAGTGACTGTTCATCAAATTGTCAAACAATGTGATGTGTACCCACAATATTTACCTGTAACTAATGTAGGAGTATATCCTCGAGGCCTGCTTCCTAATCATTTATAGCAAATGGATGTTACTCATATTACAGAATTTGGCAGATTAAAATATGTGCATGTGGCAGTTGATATGTATTCAGGCTTCTTAATGGCCACTGCACAAGCTGGAGAAGCCACTAAGTATGTGATAAGTCACTGTTTAAAATGTTTTGCTTGCCAGGCAGTTGTGGTGCACGCCTTTAGTCCCAGCACTCCAGAGGCAGAGGCAGGCAGAGCTCTGTGAGTTCGGGACCAGCCTGATCTACAAGAGCTAGTTCCAGAAAAGCTTCCAAAGCCACAGAGAAACACTGTCTGGAAAAAACAAAACAAATAAATAAATAAAAATAAAATAAAATGCTTTGCTTACATGGGAGTTTCAAGAATTATAAAAACAGACAATGGATCTGGATATACCAGTAAAGCATTTCAGCAATTTCGTGCTCAATGGAAAATTGAACACAGAACAAGTGCTCCTTATGACTCTCAAGGACAAGGAATTGTGCAGGATGCTCATGCTCATAGGTCCTTGAAAACGCAACTTCTAAAAATAAGGAGGGGAATTGTGCCCCCAGTCTCCACTCCATTAAATCATGCACTCTTCATCTTAAATTTTTTGAATGTGGATGCCTGAGAACAATCTGCCGTGGACAGATTCTGGCATGCTGGAACTCAAATTACTTTCGCTCAAGTCAAATGGAAAGATCCAAGCACTAGACTATGGAAAGGGCCTGATCCTGTCCTCCTATGGGGTCGAGGGAAAGTTTGTGTTTTCTCTCAAGAAGAAAATGAGGTCCGGTGGCTGCCGGACTTCGTTTGGTGAAATGCATGGTACAGAGGAAAACTGCCTGAGACCACAGGAACCTGTCCAAGCCAGTTTGAGTGAGACCTGCTGAACCTGTGTGCCTGACTCCCTGATGTCATCAACTCTACAGTCCCAGAACAAAGGAAAGGAGATTTGAGATTTCCAGTTTCTCAACAAGGCTGCTGCATCAACTTCTCAGACCCTTGAGTTTTTGTCCTGGAATCCAGGCAAGGACCGGACCTTTAGCAGTAGCCTTACCACATCTTGGGGCACAGAGCTTGTTTTGCCAGTTTTCTCCCCTTGGGGATGAAAGGACTCATCCAGGACAATTGAACACTAGTGTGGATGTGATGTGTGGCAACAGCCCCTCTTCAGTATTTGAGCAGGCAATGAACAAAAGTTTTGCAGTTAATTTTTAGTACTGAGGGACTGTGGTATCTCAAACTTATCTCTGAAAATTACAAGCAGTAGTGCATTGGACTTAAGAGAAGGAACAAGAAAAGTTTCAGAATTGTGGAGTTATTTATACTTCATTCACTATGAGAAAATTTTATTGTCTTTTGATTAAATTGAAATTATGAGAATTATAATTTAGTCAACAATGTATTAATTATTAATAAATATACTGGAATCATTAATGTTTATTTACAACCTTTGCTATGGATGAAAAAGTCAGAGCTCACTTTGTTAGGGATTAGACATGATGTTTATGAATCATTAGATACAATGTAATTGAATAGGCAGACTTAGATTTTGGTGTAGCTAAAGCCACTTGGAACATCCCAGACCAATTTTAAAGGCCATTTTATCTTGATTAATCTCTCCTTTTGCAGGACATGCTGTAGCCACAAAAGCAAATGTATTATGGAGCTTGCTTATAAACTCTTGATGATAAGTTGGCTCAGAGGTGCATGGCATTGAGCTATGCACTATCCCCTAATGTTCTTTGTTATAGAGGCTGGTAGTCAGGGATGGGTAAGGTCTTTTTGCTTCTAGGCAACCTAAGACAGGTCACACATGATAGAATGTGTGTCTGATGATAGGTAAGGCTGGAAGGTGATAGAAGACAACCTAAGACAGACACAGCCATCTGTCTTGTACCAGAAGCACAGACATTATTTAATTATATTAAGAAGGGGATATTTGTTGGTGCCCATAAAGATGGCTGAACTCCATCTTGGCACAAAGATAGAGAGTTCAAAACTGTCCTCAGCAAGTCATAAGACCTAAAGGTCAAAAATGTGGCTACAGTAGGGTGTTTGTCTGTCTTATTCTAAATAACAACAGACCTGATCTGAGGTGTGGCTACTCCTGACCCTCAAGGCTAGGAAACAAGAAGTTGAATCTAATGAGTGGTTACTGAATCCTTAGAGAAAGGAGGAAGAAAAGCCTGTTTGTTCCATGTATATGATACTGTGTTCCCCTTTTTGGTTAAGGTATTTAAGAGTGGTGAAAAATAAACTCATGGCAATTCAGCATTAACTGAATCTGCCTTCCTAATTTTATTCTGTGTTTCTGTCTTTTCTTTATTGTCTATAGCTAGCCTTTCCCTCATCCACACACCCCCACTCAGGTACGAACTTGGGGCTGTTCAGCTGGTTCTGATTGCAGCCCCACAAAGACAGCTTCCAACACAGATATATCATGATTTATTGGTCCCCAAAGGCACATCTAATTCCTTCCCGCTCAGTCAGTGAGAGTGTCTAGGTCATATGGAACATGAGGCCAAAGGCTGGGGTGGTCAGCGACGGATGACCTTCCTGATCCAGGGGCTGTAGGGGGCCACAGCGGTGGCCACAGGGGGCTTGAAGATGTCTGTGCAGTTTTTGGAGCTGAAAGACAGGATCCCATCCACCTGGCCTTTGCCACACACCAGAGGCCCTCCAGAGTCACCCTGTTGGATGGAGGTGGGGAACACAGGTCAGCGTTTGTGTCTGCCTTGGGAACCAGGGGCCTGGGAGGCTCTGGGGCCACTCACAAGTCACATGTGCATTCTAGTCTTCCTTTCCCTTTCCTCCCCTCTCCTTTCTGCCCCAGGGCCTTTGCTCTGGGCCCAGATGACTAGTCTGTGGTGCTGAACTTCAAACCACAGACCTGTCTTCCTGACCTCCAACCCAGACTGCATTTTTACTCCCAGGGCCTTGATTTCTGCATCCGAGAAATGAGATGAATGTTAGCTCCACCCCTCCTTCCACTCCCCTACCCAGAAGAGAACAGGTGTCACAGGCCAGCTTGGGTTGCTGCCCAGACCAGGCCTCCAGGCCATCCCTTTCACCTTGCAGGGTGCTTGGCTCTTGGCCACAGCCTTCAAACACAGCATGCCTTCCTCGAGGGCACCATTCCAGAAGCGGCTGTTGTTACACATAAGGGTGTCCAGCACGCGCACATCCAACTCCTGCAAGGCCCGTGCCAGGTGCCCACCTTGGTGGGTAATCCCCCAGCCGGCGGTGCTGCACCGAGTGCCTTCTGCCGGCCTGGCTCTGCTCTTTCTTGGCAGAGCCAGTGGTTTGATATTCCTGCTGGGCCGCACCTGCCCCTCCAGCTGTGGGGACAGGAGGGCCATTGAGTGGCTGAGGGAAGCCAGGCCAGGACAGCCCCTTAGCCCCTCTGCTTCTCTGTCCTGTACCTTTAGCAGCGCCAGATCATTTTCATAGTTGGGGTTGTAACCAGGGTGCTTGATGGCTGCCTTGATGTGGAAGGTGAGGCCCGGGTCTCGGAGGTGGTGCAGGCCAAGCACCAGCTTCAGCTGCTGTACCCTGAAATGCAGAGCTCTGCTGGTCCACCCTGAGGACTCCCACTCCTGGCAGATCATCTTCCAGAGACTTCCTGCCCAGCACCATGTTGGAGAGTTCTTAAAGAGTCTCAACACCCTCCCTCCCCTAACTACACAGCCTTTCTTCTGTGATTTTCTCTGGGGTCCTCTTATGTTGACTTCCTGCATCCACAGGACTCAGGGGTTCACACTTGCAGCAATGTAAGAGACACTCATACTTGAAGCCTAGACTTCTGGAATACTGTTTTTTTGTTTGTTTGTTTTTTTGTTAGTTCCTGGCTGGCATGGAACTAGTAGATCCACCTGCCTCTGCCTCCTTGAGGGCTGGGATTAAAAGCGAGTGCCAGCACACTAAAGGGCTGCTTCTTTTTGCTCAGGACTTTTGCTTTAGTGTTGAGGATGACAGCTGGCATTAGGCAGGCACTCCTATCAGAATGTATGACTACATGTCAGAAGGGGGTGCAAAATCATTATAGACAGTTGTGAGCCACCTCGTGGTTGCTGGGAACTGTGCTCTCAACCTCTGAGCCATCTCTGCAGTTCTGTATTTAGTGGTATCTTGATGGCAGCTCTCCCCTCCACAGGCTCCATCCTACTGGCAGGCTGGCTTCCACAGATTGCTGGGTGTTGGGAGGAGGTGCCCTTTCCTCTATCATGTGACCCACTGGACCAGAACCAACAGCCTATCTAGCCCTGAGAGAGTTGGCCTGACCAGTCGGTTGGCCTGAGTACGTCAGTGCCTTAAGCCAGGGAATATTTGGAGGTTCGAGGGATGAGTGGGATACTCACGGCTCAAGCAGGCAGTGGGCAGCAGTCAGCACCCACTTTGGATGTACGAGGACTCCCCCACACACATGGGACCCGGCTTTCTGTAGAGAGGCCATGTATGGGTGGGAGTGTGGGGCTGCCTCTTGACCCCCAATGATGTGGGTCTCAAATGTGTTGCCTGCTGAGAAGTGAGACAGACAGGGTGGGTTAGGGGAGCTACACCCTGTCCTCCACAGAGCCTGGAAGCCCTGAACCTGGCAGATTGTCTGAAATCCCCACTGATCCCTGTTCTGGACCCCACAGGACTCTACTCCCCAGATGCTCCTCAGCTGTCAGATGCCAAGCTCAAATGTGAATGAAGGGCTGAAGAGGGCTCAGAGGGTAGGAGAACCACTGGTGGCAGAGTATGAATTCAGTTTCTAGCACCTACTCCAGGCGACTGGCTCACACACAGCTGCCTGTAACGCCAGCTCCAGGGGATCTGATGCCCCCTTCTGGCCTATGAGGACACTGCATGTACCATTATCCATACTTGGAAAAGGTAATTGCAAAATGTAAAATGAAAATGTTCTGGACAGGAGTGGTGTTCTGACACATGCCATAAGAATGAAAGTGCCTTGATGACACAGTGCTCAGGGGAAAATCAGACACGAAAGGTCACAGTGAGACTTCACAACAGGAAGTGGATTTGTGGGTGTCAGGGTGTAGGGGTGAATGTTCTTGGGGATGTGAGAGATGCCTACACTTTTTTTTCTTTCTTTCTCTTTCTCTTTCTTTTCTTTCTTTCTTTCTTTCTTTTTTTTTTTTTTTTTGATACAGGGATTCACTGTTGTGTAGCCCTGGCTTTTCTGGAAATCTGTAAACCATGCTGGCCTCGAACTCTTAGACATTCTCCTGCCTCTGCCCGAGTGTTGGGATTAAAGGTATATGCCATTACTTCCTGGCTTCTGAACTTCAATGAGCTGAGCAATGTGTGAATTACTTCTCAGCAAACTTCACTGATGTGTGACCCAAGGCACCGGGCTGGGCTCAGCGAGTAGAGCAATTGCCTACTGCACATGAAGCCCTGTGCTGCAGTCCCCCGCACCACAGAAACAAGGTCTAGTGGTGCATGCTTGTTATCTCAGCCCTGGAGAGGTGGGAACAGGATCAGGACTTAAAATAAACTGGGTGGTGGTGTGCAACTTTGATCCCAACATTCAGGAGGCAGAGGCAGGCCAATGTCTATGAGTTCAAGGCCAACCTGGTTTACAAGGCAAGTTCCAGGACAGTTTTGAAACAAAACTGTTAAAGGTGTACACCACCACCACCCAGCTCAATTCTGAAGAAGGAGGAAGATGAAGAAGGAAAGAATGAATAAAAGAAAAGAAGGAAGGAAGAAATCCAAACCAAGTGTAAAATAAAGAGAAATCTCCGTGACTTTGTGGGGGCCAGCTCATACACTTGTATCTGCAGAGCTGTGCAGTCAGCACCCGAAACTGAGTGGCTTCTGACCACCCAAGGAAATCTTCCACCTATGTGTGCTTTCTTTTTCTTCCCTTAAAAAAAAGTTTTAAGTTTTGAGACAGTGTTTCCCAGCTCCCAGGCTGGCCTGGAGCTATGTAGCTGAGGATGATCCTGAACTCATTCTACTTCCACCTTCCCGCCTCCCCAGTGCTTCTAGGGTAGGCAGGCATGTGTCCCTCTGCCTGGTGGAACACACTAGGCCAGACAGACCAGTGTGTAGTCCACAACTTAAGAGTTGTTATACTTGCAAAAAGCCGGCTTCCCTCTCCTGTCTGTGTAGCTTTGGCTGTCCTGAAATGAAACTCACTCTGTAGACCAGGCTGGCCTTGAACTTACAGATACCTGTCTGCCTCTACTTCCCAAGTGCTAGGATCAAAGGCGTGCACCACCACTGTCCAGCTCCTTTCTTTGGAGGAGGGTCTAGAAGGTTCCAAGCAATTATGAATGTCAAAAATTGGGAGTATGGTTGTGCACATCTCTAAACCCAGTATGTGGGAGACAGAGGCAAACAGATGTAGGGAGACCTTGTCTCAAAAGCACATTCATGCGTGTAGAAGTGTATGGAGGTCAGAGACCAAGTCTGAAGTCTTCCACAATCACTCCATACCTTACTTGTTTGAGACAAGGTCTCTCACTGGACTTGGAGTTCAATGATTCAGCCTGTCTTAAGCCCCAGGGATCCTGTGTTAACTGCCCTCATGCTGGGATTGTAGGTATGAGGCATACCTATTGTTTTTTCCTCTGGAGAGGGCCTCACTAAGTAATAGAGGCTGTTCTGGAACTCTTTTGTAGATTGACCAGGCTGGCTTTGAACTCAGAGATCCACCTGCCTCTGCCTCCCTAGAGCTGGGATAAAAGGTGTACACCACCACTGCCATTTTTCTTTTCCCTTCCATTTCTTCCTCCCTCTTTCTTCCTCCTCTTCCTCTTATCTTTGTTTTCACATTCTAAGGAACTTCCTTTAGTTTATTTTGCATAATTTTGAGGCTTTCTTTCCTTCTCTCAAGGTGTCACCATGTAGCTCTGGTTGGCCTGGAACTCTTAAAGTGATTCACCTGCCTCTGAGTTCAGGTATTAAAGGCATGTGCTACTACGCCACCCCCCCTCCTTTTTCCCCCTCCTTTTTTTTTTTCCAAAGCAGGGTCTCAGGAAGCCCAACTGGCCTTAAACTCACTAGAGCTGAGGGTGGCTTTGAACTTCTGAACCTCTGGTTTTCACTTCCAGGACTGGGAGGTTTACTGAGAATGGAACCCAGGCTTTATGTATGCAGGCACATGGCCCACCAACTTACGCTACACCATAAACAAACCCATTTCTGTTTTTTAAGATAGGGTTTCACTGTTAATTGAACCCATAGCAATCCTCCTGTCTCATTTAAGTCTGAGCTCACAGGCCTTTTACCAGGCAGAGCTCAGGGTTTAGCTTTGCTCAGAGTGTGCTTTTTGTAGACACCACTCCTTGGTGATCTGAATGATCTAATTTCCTGTTACACAAACCCAGCTCTCCCTTCTACAGACCCTGAAGACTGGGCTCTAGGCCTGTTTCCCCTGCATGCTCACCTGTCCACAGTGTCTCCACGGCCAGCAAGAACAGCAGGGACTGGCAAACCTCCATCCTGATACAGGACTTGTGGTTCCAGGGTGTGGGTGTTGGGGGGGACCTCCGCACTTTCTCTTCCTGTGAGGACAGGTGGCCTTCCGAGTCCCACCCATCTAGCACAAGTACCAACCAGCTCCTCCTTCACACCCTGCTCTGGGTGGTTTTCAAAAGTGTCTCCGAAGTCAGCTATCCTGTGTGTGGGGGCTGAGCAGCAAGCGGAGCCCAGTGATAAAACCCCAGCACTACTTTTCCTGGTGCTTTTATTAATTCTTTGCTTTCTTTAGCACTGCAGTGAACCCGGCTCAACTGACACCCCAACCCCCCACAGAGGACACATCTTGCAGGGTCAGTTCTCTCCTTCCACCATTTGGCTCCTGTAACTCCCATCCTCAGTCTGTTACTGGCTTGAACTCTATGTAGATCAGAGGCTATCTTTTTTCTTTGAGATAGGGTCTCATTAGGTAGCCTTAGGTGTTCTGGAACTTTGTAGACCAGGCTGGGCTTGCACTCATCAAAAATAGCCTGTCTGTGCCTCAGAGTACCAGGACTGAAGACCACCACACTGTGCACTCTTTTTTTCTTTTGGTTTTTGGAGACATGGTTTCTCTGTGTAGCCCTTGCTATCCTGGAACTACTTCTGTAGACCAGGCCGGCCTAGAACTCATGGAGATTCACCTGCCTCTGCCTGCGAGTGCTGGGATTAAAGGCGTGTGCCATCACCGCCTGGCCACATAATAACAGTGGCAAGAAGTGCAAGCAGTGGCTGGGCAACAGTCCCTATCCTGTCTCCAACTGCTCAGCCTCCTTCCTTTACAAACTACTTGTCCTTTTGTGACTGATGGGGAACCCTTTAGATGCAGTTCAATAGCATATGGCTTTGTTTTAGAGACTGGAATTCAAGACATAAGACATAACAGGCCTACTCTGTGTAATTATACTGGCTGTCCTGGAACTCACTCTTTAGAATTCAGAGATCCGCCTGCCTCTGCCTCCCAAGTGCTGAGATTTAAAGGATTGCACCACCATTGCTTGGCCTTTTCCTTTCAAACCAAGTGGTTTGAAATCCTGGGTTCCATCCCCAGCACACTAAGTGGCAGAGCAGGCATGTCACCTCAGCACTGGGTCACTGTCGCTGTAGTGTTAGTAGCCCTTGTCTTGGGGAGTCAGCAGGCTATAGCTCAGTCCCCTGGTCACAGGGACTCCTCAGGCAGGCACTGGGTTTCCAGGACTGAGAAAGTGCCTGGACCACAAGCACTGCTGGGATTAGGGGTCCTTCACATGCCCCAGGACCCAGGACTTTCCAGAGATAAACCTCAGGCCTAGCCTGATTAGACTTGAGGCAGATGCAGAACAATGGCGCAGCACCTCATGCAGGCCGGCGTGGTCTGCAGGCAATGGGGAGCTGCTTCTGGACTGGGGACCCTGTAGACCCCTGAACCAATCCGATGAACAGACTGTTACCATCGCTTCCTCCTGCCCGTCCCACTGCCCTGGCCGGGCTGCCATTGCCATTGCCGTCCTGGCTGCTTCTCCCAGCTTCTCAGAAAGCTGTTTTATTTGGATCTCACACACACCAAGGCAGAGAGGAGGTGACTGGGGCTGGCCCTGGTGGGATGAGTCTCTGCTTCCCCACCAGGCGGTCCCCAGACTCCCAGGCTTGTCACCATCTGTGAGCTGAGTGGGGTGTCTGCCAGGCACCACAGGGAAAGAGGACCCAAGGGTCCCGGGACAGGAGCCCACATGGAACCTCAGTGAGGTAGTCTGTCGCCTGAGGCCCACACGGGTCCTGCTGAGGTAAAATTTGTAAGTTTATTTCAGGGACGCGGGTCAGGACTCCTCGGTGCCAGAGTCATCTTCTTCATCCCCAAAGCAGCTGTCGGCCTCCTCCACTTCGCCGTCTTCATAGTAGTCATCGTAGAAGAGGTCTGAGCCCTCGTCGGGCGCCGGCGCCTTGGTCTTCACACAGTACTCAGCCAGCGTGGTGGGCACCTTCACGCCATCACGCTCCGCGTCCACCTTGGTCCCCAGGACCTGCTTCCTGGGGAGACAGGGGAGGTGAGGCCATGGCCCAGGTACCCAGGGACTCTAAAGACAATGGGATGGAGGTGAGAAGGTGGGAGGAAGGGGGTAGGAGACGACGGGTGGCTCAGTGACCAGCTCCCAGGCAGGAAAGTAGCCACAGCCAGGTGCAGGACACAGGCCTATTGCATGGCACTTGGAAGCTGAGGCTGGAAGCTGCTCTGAGTCTGGGGCCAGCCTGGGCCACCGCAGGACCTGTCTTAAATGACAAACAGGGCCAGAGATGATGCAGTAAGAGCACCTGTTGTACAAACACAGGACCCAAGCTCAGCCCTAGCACCTATACCGGCTGTGGCAGCCTGCAGGCCTCCAATTTCAGTGCTGTGGGGAGCACACAGTGACAGAGCAGAGGACACCAGACTTTATCCCTTGGTTTCTTTATGTATGCACCCAGCCACACATCACACCAAACAAACTCCCAAACCATAGCCCTAGCTGAGGCACTCATAAAGGGTAGTCCGGAAGCCTTTGGTTGGGCCTGGGGGAAGTGACAGGGACGCCAGTCTGACTTGGCTTCACCCCGAAGCAATACAGCAAGAGCTTCCCTGTACAAGGGCAGCAATTAACTGAAGAAATCAGGCCCAGGCCAGAGCCTCAGGTGCCCTGGAGGCCAGGCTATCCTCAGGGTGCAGGGCCTAATGGGAAAAGTGAAGAGTAGGGCAGACCCTGGTCTTAGCCTCCCACGAAGAGAATGGAGTATGAGACATTGTCGGAGGGCATCTATGACAGCACATCATATAGCCTAGACCTGTCTCAAGGCCTTTCCCACAGGCTTCCAGGTGTCCTGTCACTGTGTTTAGACACTGGCTCTTAGGCTGAGACCCAGGAGCAGTATAGGGCCTCCTCATGGTCATAGCAAGTGGCTCCTGGACTCAGAATGGTAAAAATAGCCTGGGGCTTCTGCTCTGGGACAGGGACACAGCAAGAAAGCAGCCAGGGACTGAGCCAAAGGCTGCCAGGAGGCAGGAGATCCAGATCCAAAGCCTCTACTGGCACCTGCACCCAGTAGTGCCCCGTGCAGGGCAGCCTGTCAGACACCATTATGATCCCAACTGTCAGGCTGACAGGAAGTAGGTGGTGAAAAGGACTCAGTGAATCCATGGCAAACTCAAGCTTAAAACATTTACTTACAAATGACAGACAGAACAGCCAACAAAACACAGGCCACAACTAAGCCTTTAACCCCAGCACTCAGGAGGCAGTGTGGTTCTTGGAGTTCGAGACCAGTCTGGCCTACTTGGCTAATTCCAGGACAGTAAGACTTTGTCTCAAAAAATTAAGAAAAGAAACCCCAAAGGACATCTCTCCTTCTTCCCAGCAGGGAATGGCGCAGGACAGCCTGAGCAGAGGACAAAGGGGACAGGGCTGCATGGACTTCCAGACCATGCAGATCTTAGTATGGTGACACCTCCACAGATCAGCACTCAAGACATTCCTGAATAACTAACACCTCCATACAGGACCATGGCAGCCACACAGTAGAAGGGGAGCGCAGGTACATCTTGTTCTGAGGCCAGGGACCCTGGTCCAGGATCTTTCTGTTCCAGCCTGACCACCAAGCTGCAGCTTGTGTCAAATCTGAGAAGTCAGGGCTCCTTCTGCAGGACAAGGGCCAGGGCTCCTGATGATGGGCAGGTGCCCGCCCCGTCTATGCCTCCAGGCTGACATGTGTGGCTTGCTCAGCATGCCTGCTGAAGGGTCCAGGTCAGTGCTAGCGTGGAAACAATACAGGCCTGTATGTTTGGGTCACCATGTGTGGACAAGCACCTGTTCTCTCCTGGGGCAGTGCTGAGGCAGGGGACTGTAGGGTATGAGGTGTTATGTCACCCTGGCACCAGGAGGGAACTTGAGGAGGAGGTTACAGGAAAAGTCTGTCTCAGAAAACAGAGAGAGAAGTCAAGCCAACCAAGCCTGGGAATGTGGGTACTGTCTGGGACACTCAGCTGGGCTGAGAGGCTGCAGGTCTTGACATTTGCCTAGAATTTTGCAAGTGCAACCTCACACCCAGCTTTAGAGGTATAAGGGAGACCACCTGACTCCCAAACTAGCCAGGAAATGAATCCCTGCTGAAAAGTGATGATAATGTAAACACTGTCTCACAGGCTCCCCAAGACGGCTCCCAGTGGGCTCAGAGACGTTCCCCCTTTGCAAAAAGGCTCTAAGTTTTGGAACCACAAATTCAAGTGATGTTTACAGAGGCAGCTGAGGATGTGGCCTATGCAGTGCCCCAGTCACTCATGAAGATAAGCCAAGTGCCAAGTCAAAGAAAGGATCTTGGCCATCCTGGGTGGTCTACTTGGTGCTGAGCATACAGTCCCGTTTCCCCCCACCCCCAAGCTGAGGATGCAAGATTGGAAACACAACAATTGCCACCTCAAGGAGAGCTGACATGGGAGGGGGTCTGTGTTGTGCTTTGTGGGGCACACCCCACTACACATATGAAACACATATCACTGTTACAGCAAGTAACATCTATTCTAGAGACCCTGTGGTGGTGCTATCCTGCCCATGCCTGGCACTCACCGGATGATGTCCGTGTACTCGCGGTCCTTCCCCTTGCTCTCTTTCCACTTTCTGTACATCACTGAGGCATCCACATTGGCGGGCGAGAAGGTGTTGGGCTCATTCAGCAGGGAGATCACACTCAGGAGGATGGTCCTGTGGGGCCGTGGGCACAAGCTCAGCTCTCTACAGACCCTGGGGACCCCAGATTGGTGGAGCAAGGAAGGAGGGGCAGGGTGTCTTGGGGTTCCCACCATGCGAGAACACATGCAGTTCTCACCTGACATTCTGCGTGGGGTTCCACCGCTCTGAGGGCAGCTCCCCACTCTGTGGGTCGTCAACTGGGGGATGGAGGATGGAGATGCACACGTCCCCTGTCTGCAAGAGTGACCGGGATGAGGCGTGGGGCATGCACAAGGGAGGCATGAGGTGTG